GCGGGTTTTTGGAACACTATGGGAAGTGTTATGGTCACATCTTTCATAGGAAAGATTATAGTGATATATTAATTATTATTAGAATATTGATAAATAATTTTTAAATTGCTTGAAAGCAGCCATAAATCTTTTACTCATTTTACATTCATGTGTTCAATAATCGATTTATTCACCCATTTTAATATATATATCATATAAATTTGTATTTATCTATCAGTCCGTCTATTAATGATTATTAATTAATCATTTATTTATTCATGTATATATTTAATTTTCATGAATTGATTAATTGTTAATTTATGATTAATACATTGTTAATTTATAATTAATACATTATTAATTTATAATTAATATATTATTAATTTATAATTAATACATTATTAATTTATAATTAATACATTATTTATTTATAATTAATACATTATTAATTTATAATTATTTGATTATTATTAATTAACTATTATTTGTTAATTTATGTATGCATTTATTTATTTTTATTTTTGTCAGTATATTGTTATTTTCAATCATTTTTTTCAATATTATTATTTTCAACTATGTCATTTGTTTCATTCATTTATTTTCATTCATGCAATTATCTCATTCATTTATTTATTAGGTCATGAACGTCCAGTTCATCTACTAGACGTCCAGTATCGCATGCATCCTGAAATCGCTCATTTCCCCTCTAAACACGTGTACAACGACAACATACATACCGACAGGTATTTACTAGTAATACTATTATGCCTGGTGAAGGTCCATATGAATGTCCCCATCGCACCAAAACGTACTTTTATTCTATTTGTATTTTCTATTTTTCCGTAAGGTATCTGTTGGCACTTTTAAATTTGACAAACCTATATGTCTGTTTTATTATTAGTTCTGTGTTCAAGCGTTCATTTCCAATCAAGAAACCCTACGCTTTGTTCAACGTTCACGGCGGCCGAGAACTCAACGACAGAAAAGGGTAAACCTTAAATCTACGATGTAATAAACAATGTTATCAAYTGTGTTCAGAAAAGAACGTTTGATCAAATCTCGAAAAGCAGCATGAATACCATGAATACCGGAAACATCGAGATTTTTACGCGATTTGTGCCACGTCAAACGTCTGTTTTCGTCATCGTCGCTTCTATAACTTCATTTATCGAAAAACCGACATGCATGACAGACGCAGAAACGTCCAGATTTGTACGCGTTTATGACGTCAAACGTTTGTTTCGTCATTGTCACGTTTATGACATCATTCGTCAAAAAAACCCGGCATGCATGACATGCGCAGGAACTACGCCGACTTTTGTATAATTTATGACGTCAAACCTCTAATTCGTCATTGCTACGTCTATGACATCATTGATCGAAAACCTGCATGCATGACATGCACAGAAATGCCTTCGTTTTCATTCCTTTATGACGTCAAACGTCTATTTCGTCATCGTCACGTCTATGACATCATTGATCCAAAACCTGCGTGCATGACATGCGCAGAAATGACGATGTTTTCATTCCTTTATGACRTCAARCGTCTGTTTCGTACCTCACGTCTATGACAYCATTCAACGAAAAACTGCATGCATGGCTTTCCCAGAAGCGCCGAGCTTTACGCGCGCTCTAAGCAAAATCCGCGTTTATGACGTCAAACGACATACGCGATGTTCAACGTTCAACGCGATACTATTCATTAAAAAAGACACAGATCGTATACGTTTAGAAACACATTTGTAGCGTCAAATTACTATATTTGTCATGACTGCTATAATTGTTAAAACATTYGTCACAAGCTARTGATCGCTACTAGAATTTTGCGTTTTTGTGATGGCAAAAATCCGTTT